TTGTGACGGCAAAAACGGGCTCGGGCACCGAGATAGTCCTGAGGCGGCGCAGGACTGGGCAGTGCTCCCTTCCGTTGGGCACAGGGCCCCTCGGGGCGGAACTGACTTGATGGCACCTGACAGCACTATCCTAAATGCTATTTTATAGTGTGATGACCAACTTTGAAAACAGGCAAATATGTAATATACAGGATATTTGAAATCATATGCTACAATATATGTGGTGTGAAAGCCCTAAGTAAAACCACAAAATAATGAAAATGTAACAAACTATTTACGAGTCTTTATTCACATTGTTTTTGCCATAATAACTGTTGCTTCTTAACCCAACTGCAGATGGACACCTGCCCAATGAGTTTAACAAACCAAGGTTCAGAAAATGGAAACAAAACATTCCCTAATGTTTTCCATCTCTCCAATAATGAAAAAGGCAGGTGTCTGATTAAATAACTGAAAAGATTCACGTGGCAAGAAAGTATATCCTAATTTCATAAAATACCTCATATTTCCCTTTGACAATTTTTTCCAAATTTGTAATTGTAAGATCATTTTATTGGGGGTTCTTACAGCCCCAATTGTATCAAGCATATTTGCACATATGTTGCCATCATTATTTCTAAATATTTACTTTCTATTTGAGCCCTTTGTATCGGCTCCTCTTTTTTCTCTCCCCCTGATAGGTCCCTTCCTCATGATTGACATTTATTGTAACAGAAGTTTCAGGTCCCCTCCTCGTGATTGACAGTTATTTGAACAGAAGTTTCTATACATCACCAAAGGATATATATCGTGCATCCCCCTTCCCCTCACTGTGGGCTGGGTGTGGAGATAGTCTCTAAAATTGTGCTCATTTAGTTCTATTGTTATTTTCATTCTCTTCATCTGACAGGTAATATGATTGTTGCAGAGACAGGTGAGTACAGTAGAATCTATGGAGTTCTGATGTCTTGAGGCGCTGGTGTTGTAATGGTTACAAGTTGGGCTGATAACCTCAAGATCAGCAGTTCAAAACCACCAGCCCCTCTGCAAGAGAAAGATGAGGCTTTCTACTCCCATAAAAATTAGTCTCTGGAACCTACAAGGGTAGTTCTACCTTGTCCTGTAGGTCGAATTGACTCGACGGCAGTGCGTCTGGGTCCTGAACATCTGGGCTGGAAGCACCAAGATGTGGCGGTGGAGAACCTGGAGAGCTGATACCAGCCGTCCGGTATCCTCCAAATAAAGTACGGCAAGCAGCATGGTGGCTGCCTTTCACCTCTCTGCCTCCATGCAGTCTCCTCAAAGAGAGCCAGCACCAAGTCTGTTCAGTCACGGATTCTTGGTTTAATTCCTTGATAGGTCCATGAAAGCAGGTACTACATTTTTAATTATATCATGTAAGAGATGAAAGAGCTATTTAAGAAGTAATTTATCACAATTTGCTGTAATATTTATTTCAAATCCTTATGACATCTTTTCACTTGTTCGTTTATACCAACTATTACAAAACAGGCATCAAAATTGAAGTATGAGTTCCCCAAAGCAAAATTTGTGCAAGTCAATTTTTTTCAAGTTTTGATGATAACATATAATTCAACAGTCTAAACATAGTAAAAGAATCACACAATTGTTACCACAAGTTTAGAACATTCCCTCATTCTTGAACTCATTATTATTAGTCCATTCCCACCTAACCTACCTGCCATAACTCAAGGAAACTCAAAGCAAAACCAAAATTTAGTTATCTAACCTACCTACACGTTCACATCTTCATCATCTGTGTTCCCTTTTGACTAATTTTTCATTGATTCTACTTTGCATCATTTCTGTTTTCTTTTGAAGTTTTTACTGTTTTATTTTGTTGCTGTTTTGAGTTTCCACATTTTGTCTGATTTTCTTTCTATGAAATCCAGGAGAGGTAAATATATAGAGACAGCAATTAGATTAATAGTTTATTAGAGTTAGGAGAGGAGAGGATGGGGGGATGAGGAGCTAAGAATAATGAGGCCCAGAATGAAGAAAATGTTCTAAACTTGTGGAGATGGTTACACACCTTGCTGGACTGCTTAACTGCAAGGTTGGCAGTTTGAAACCACCAGCCACTCGAGAGAAAGATGGGGATGTCGACTCCTGACAAGTTGGTCTTGGAGCCCACAGGGACAGTTCTACTCCACCTTGAAGGGTCACTGTGAATTGGAAGAGACTCGGTGGCTGTGAGTTTTCTATATCTGCATTAATTCCACTTCCCGACGCACTCTGTCTGAAGGCAAGGCTATTCCCCTCCCTGGTCAGTGGCTCGTGGGACTTCACTGGAGGGTCATCTCATGGGGATCTGCAAATGGACTTTGGTTTCACTGTCATCCGTAGGCTGCTGTAAACCAGAAGCCCAGCATTTAAGCTCTAATACAATTCTTTCCTCTGATCTTGGATTTTATTGCTTACAATCCTTGGATTACACAGGCTTCTTCAGTGTGGGCTTAGGTGACACCTCACTTAGATAGCTGTTCCCACACACCATTTTTTTTGATGGGACTCAGCTATCAGAAAGACTGGTCAGTCAGTTATCTATAGTAAAGGATCAACATAAATTTACACTGACTGCTCAAACAACTACCGTAAGTTCACTGACTTATTGTCTTTGTTGTAGAATATGAGGCCCATTCTTTTTGTAGAAAACGTGATAAATAGTAAAAATCCTAGACCGCTACATTCACTAAAAACTTTATAATCCAGCTCATTTCATTGCATTAAAATGGTACACTTAACTTTTGCCTTTGATAGTATTATAATCAATTTAAAATCAAAATGATATTATGGAAAGCTAAGACACACACATATATACATATAAAGTTTTATACATACATATATAAATACAAGGAGCTACAAAAAGTTTGTAGCAAAATGGAAAGAAAAGCAATGGGATTTTCCCATGAACTCTCTGAAGGCCCTCCTACAACTCATACAGTTAAAAGGATGAGTAAACAAAGGCAGGGTGCCAGAAATCGTCAGTGTGTAGGTTTCGCACGTCTGATGCTGGCCCTGCCTGCACTGGTCCCCACAGGTCAGGTCTGAATACACTTTTCCATTACAACACTGCATAACTAAGTATAATTTATGGGTGAACATGAGTCAAATGACCCTTGAATGAGCTGGCTTGGAAATATAATCAATAGAATTGTTGCAGAAGAAATGCATCCTGCGTTCTAAATCAAATCAATAGTGTAAAAATACCTTTGCATCGCAATCCATCTGTAAGTAAGCAGGGGGTCTACACGCCTAAAAGTACTAATATTGAAAACCGAGTTGGTCGAGATTACCTGCGCACTAATTATTATATTTACTTTCTTATTAATACTAGCAAAAAGTTCAACAATAATATAGAATGCACACTACTCACGACCTAATAATTTTCATATATTGGCATGTTGCTTATTTCTCAAACATTTAGAGCTCTCATAACATTTACTACCACTGTTACATCAAGTCATTTATTAAAAATATCCCCTCCCTTCACTAAATGCAAATAGCATTTTTCTGACAATCGATTACAACTCTGTCTAAATATTAATGTAGAAGGGTCTTTATCTTAAGTAAAAGTTATTCTCAATTATGATAAGAGGCTTAAATCACATTTCTGTGAATTCCCTGAAGGTTCTGGTCTGAGCAAACTGTTTTGGAGATTGCTTGCATCATTCACTGTACATGGTGTTTGGGGGCATTTTACTTATCACCTGGAAAAATCAGGCTATATTCTATGTACTTTAAGAACACATTAGGAGGAGGGATTCTAGTATCTGAAAAAAATCAGAGCTAAAAGTCTTACAGTTTCGATTACTTCTGATTCACAGTAAGTTTCGGAATACATCTCTGGGCGTGGATTTCATCAGCCTCTATCTGAAACCAGCACTGGCCTCATCTGGAGCTCTTCTGAGATAACCTTTGTATAATCTGCTCCTGAGGGAAGGCCACCACTCCCAGGGCTGCCCTCTCTGGAGCAATCGCTACAATGCCTCCCACCCCTTGGTGCACGTCAGCAGGCTTCCAAAGACTCCTGGGTTGCTTACGTGGGGAGAGTAAAACCAGTTAAAAGGGAGACGTTGGACGGTGTAAGACATGACAAAATAATAATTATTTATAAATTATCAAGGGTTCATGGGGGAGGGGGAAGCGGGAAGGGAGGGGAAAAATGAGGAGCTGATTCCAGGGGCTCAAGTAGAAAGCAAATGTTTTGAGAATGATGAGGGCAACAAATGTACAAATGTGCTTGACACAATGGATGTATATACGGCTTGTGATAAGAGTTGTACGAGCCCCCAATAAAATGATTTTTAATTACAAAAAAAGGGGGGGGGTGGCTCTGGTAGCTGGGTTATACTACCTTAATCTAGACCACTCTGGGAACTACTTCCAGGTTCCCATTGCATAACCATTTGTTATAGAAGCAGATGCCAAAAAGCTGTCTTTCTAAAGTCTGACGGAGAGGGAAATATTATTGCTGTTCTGAAAATAAAAGTCTATCATCTCTTACTAGCTGAAGCATTTGTTTTGGTTGCTGCAATAGTGATTTGTATTGTGACACTATTTAAAATGTTGGTTTCTAAATATTTCCAGTGGGTGAAGACCAAGACAGGAAGGCTAAGAGTGAAATAAAGTTGTCATTGCAAAAGACTGCTGAGGGAGAGAAGCTTCTAAACAATACTGATTCTTCAAATTTCTACCACTGATACCACAAGTGTATTGATACACATGAATTCATTTTTCTTTTGGCTAGCAAATAAAACACAACAAATAACTGAACCCACAGTTAACTAATTGAACCTAAAGTACAATTCAATTGCTTATACACTATTCTTATTTCATTGGATATTTGATTGAATAGATATTAAGGCTAAAGATAAAATTGAACAAAATTATCAAAAATAGTTCATTCATATCTGAGTCATAACAGAAACTAAAAATGAAGTACACTCAAAAGTATCAAAAGAGGTGAGCTATAACACAGAATATGAGTTCAGCCTTACCCACTGCATCCAATGACTTTATTGTACAAATAGGACGGCAAGCCTTTCAGGTGAGTGTTGTTGTCCACGTAAACATACTGTAGTTCTCGAGATCGACCTAAATCTGAATGAGAAAGAGTAGGACTATAATTCCTATCAATATGTATCTAAAGTCAACTAAACACCATTAGAAATACTCCAAAATCCCATTCTGGGAAAAGAGTGTTGTAGATTAAATTCTAGGTATGAAATTATATCAGCTGCATCATCAGATCTTGGATCAGAAAACATGACCTTCAATCTATGGCTTATCGAGGCGCACCGGGGGTGCAGTAGTTACACGTTGGGGTGCGATCCTCAGGGTCAGCAGGACGAACCCACCAGCCATTCTGAGGGAGGAAGACTGGGCCTTCTGCTCCCATAAGTAGTGACAGTGTTGGAAACCCGCAGGGGGGTCGCTATGAGTCAGCCTTGACTCGATGGCTTTTTATAGGCAATCTCAATTTAAGAGTAAAGTTTATTTTAGGTTAGTTATTTAGTTGTTTCACTTTTGCCCACAGGAAAAAAATATACTATACAAAGAATTGTTATTCTTGGATCAGCCTAAACAAGTGCAGCTCTGAATCTTTATCAAGATGTACTTTATCTCACCTCCCTTGGGCAGAAAAATGGGAGGGGATATGAAGGACAGCAGGGGTTCAGGGCCTGGCTGGGCTGGGGTCTTGAGAGCCTAGGTAGGTATGGGAGTGGGTAGAAAAAGTACACCCTTAATCCCAGGGAGTTGCTAAGGTGGAGTTGGACTAGACCTGCAGGCTTGGAATGCACCAAGAATGGGAAGAGGCGAGAAGACCATGAAACAGGATTTACAGTAAAGTCAGTCAGAAAGAAGGCGACTGAGACAGCTTCCCAGAAAAAGCAGGACAGTGGAGGAGACAAGGAGTGGTGGACGCAAAGAGCTGAGGGAGATGTCCTGGGACATGCAGCAGGGACACTCCCAAGCTGAGAGGCCAACCCTTTCTATCCTGCAGTCCCCAGGCAGGTTTGGCCAGCTGTCCATCCTATTCCCAGTACTGAGTAGGACTGCTTGTCTTCGTTCCCATGGTCTCATGCAATGGGATCTCAGCAGCTTTGCTACTCTCTGCTGGCTGAAGCAAGAACATAATCTTTGAAAGGTGTCCTAGGGTTCTGCTTATAAAAATAGGAAACAGGCTGAGGGAGAAAAACAAAGGCCCACATGGACAGCACTGGCAGGGTCTCGGGTGCATTCACATTTCAAAAGAAACATTTACTCATTGTAGACCTTTGAGGTACTACGCTAGTCCTCGGAGCTACAGTAATGCGTAAACATCATTACTAGATGTTTACACAGACATAAAAATGAGCATTGTACTGTGCTGCTCACTGCCATGAGAGAGGCTTGTATAAAGTCTTGGGGATTCACAGAGTACTCTAGGTCCTGAACTATTTGTTACAGAAAGTGGGATGGGGTCACCTGGGGTACAGACAGGGGACTACCTCAGGAAGAGCTAAGAAAAGGGGTAACATTACAGTTATCCCTCCCATGTGAGTCCCATGATGGTAATGTTGCCTAGGACCTACACGGGAGCAAGTTGCAAAACAAAGGAATCCAATCGGAAGAGAAAGGTCATCGTAGGACTGGGGAAAGACAATAAAAAGGAAAGTCGTAACCTTAGGAAAATGAATTATGAGGTCACGTGGCTAAAGATACCATTTACCAATGTGGTGGCTTCGAAATGTCTAACAACCTAACAAGGTAGAAAGGACTTGGCTCACTCTTTGCTCCATTCCTATCAAGAAAGACAGGTGTCGCGGCCGGAAGGCATCCCAGCAGTCGGAGGAAGTGGATCTCCGCAGTGATAACCCTGAGGATGAGCCTCCTTGGACGTAAAGCCTCCAAGCCCCTCAAATCTTCAAATGGCTACAGTTATCTAAATATACTGCCTTTCCACACATTGCACCCATTAATTGTGGCATCCAGTGATGGCACTTTTTAATAATTATACCAGTGTAGCTAATGGTAATGTATCATTCATCTTTGGGCCTACATTTATTAGGCAAAAATTTACTACAAAAATTTTCTGTAAGCTTGCTTTATCAGAGTGAATTCATGGATATTTATGTTACTAGTGTTTAATGCCTATTATTTATTTTGTTGGTCAAAATGTTCCCTCTCTGGCAGTTATGCAGTTTAGTATGCTCTTGTGTTCTTTCAACAGAGCACCTTTTTTTTTTCAGTGTCCTTACTTCCTGGCACTATAGAAACAACTTTTATTTTCCCTGCCCCAACTTGGAAAGCAATTACTTCTCCAAGGCGTCCTAGCTCCTTGTATTGAAGTATGGATTTAAACCCCAAATCTGACCCTAAATGTGCTCCTGATTAATCAAGTGTTATTGCTTCTATGAATTCTTGGTAGACAGATCAAGGAACAGATATATACTAATCCACACATACATCTACATTATTGGAGGTATACTTTTAGTGTACATTTCTGGGTCAAAAGTGAGTACATGTGTCGATTGTTTGGTATTGACAATATTTTTCCCTTCAAAGGAGTTATAACTGCTGGCATTGCCAACAGCAATGCATGAAAGTACCAGTTTCTCCATAGTTCTGTCAATAGAACTCATGCTTTCAAAATGTTGCCATTCTGAGGTGAAAAATGATTCTCAGTGTTCTGTAATTAGCATTTCTCTATATGTTGATATGAACATTTTTAATATGTCTGAGTTAGTTTTACATATATGTTTAACAGACTATTTTCTTTTTCTTATTTTCCTTTAAGGATTTTGGTATTTTGCCTCTCATTTTCATTTATTTATTAAAAATGTTTGTTTTTAAGGTGGTAAGGATAAGGTCATATTAGTATAAAGGCAAAAATTCAAATGATGCGTAAGAGGGAGAAGATCCCCAACAATGTTCAGAAAGCCAGGGAAGACATTTCTGTCACGGGACATGTAAGAGATACCTGCACCCAGTACAAATTTAGATCACACCCACAGGGAGGACAACTGGCATGGTACCGAGTTCAGTCCCGCATAATCAGGATTGCAACGGTCTCTGCTTGATCGTAAGGCTCTTTGGGACTCTTCCCTCGGCTAACGCGGATCTGCCAACAGCTTGGTCTGACCAGAGACTCTGACCAGAGACTCTGCGGGTGGGTTTGGGACCCACTGTCCTCCACAGCATCTCCACACCGGGTTCACGGTTTCAGCTCTGATGCTTGTCTTGTCACCTTCTCTGGATCTTGTAATGGTCATCTTTCTGGGACGCGCTTCTGTGTGGCTTTAGTTGGCTCCTCGCTTAAGACTGCTGCTTGTTTGAATACAAGCCTTTAAGATCCCAGACGCTAGCTCCCTTACCTTCAGTGATCATTTCATGAAGTTGAGTATCAAGCAGGGGCATGATGTAAGAACTAAATGTTCTTAAGATGGAGCTAGTGTGAGCCCAGAACTCATTCCTGTATCTATGCTTGCTTTTTTTAAAATTTGCTGTAACTTGGAAATTAATGCATATGTCATATTCCATAGTTCAGTCATGTCAAACATAATTGTACAATTTTTTCTATAGTCAGTGTCCAGACATACTATTCCTTCCTGGACTTCTTGACATCATTTCCCTTATGTCCCCCACCCCCCACCCTTCCATATCACCCAACTGCCAAACCCTTGTTCTGTTTCTTTTCATATAGGATCAATGTCCCTGGGTTTCGTTCACCACAAACCAGAGAAACAAGTAACACAGTTTCAAGAGTGTGACCCCCAATGGGGATGCACCTCTGACATACACCCTAGTATACACAAGTGTAAGCAAATACAGGGTCACAGGATGGCCGGAATTGTACGTTAGCGTAATACTGCATACAGGCAATGATGTACCGTGTTTCCCTGAAAGTAAGATATCCCCGAAAATAAGACCTACTTACAGTTTTGCCTCTCACTGAAATATAAGGTACCCCCCGAAAATAAGACCTCCCCGAAAATAAGCCCCCCCGAAGCTACCATAACTCTGGACTGTAGCGCCAGGCGACGCTGCGCAGCTCAATGTTGGCCGCAGCGCAGCCAGAGCAGACAGGAAGTGCGAGGTCTCATTAATAAAACAATAAACAATAAATGTGCACTGTATTCTTCTTCATGAAAAAATAAGATATCCCCTGAAAATAAGACCTAGCGCATCTTTGGGAGCAAAAATTAATATAAGACACTGTCTTATTTTCGGGGAAACAGGGTAGTAACATCTTGTTTGTCCGTTAACCAACAGCACAGCGTTCGTGGTACAGCTGTCTTCTGCTTCCTCCGACACCATGTGTTTCCGGCTCAGTCCTCAGGTTCCAAGTGTGTCGGAAGTAGGGTCCAGTTCACCCAATAGGGTTCTCACATGGGCTCTCACGATGCTTCTGGAGCATGCTGTGCACCCTGACATTGCCGGAGTTAGTGTCTCAGAGACCTTTACATATTGGAGACATTAGCCCCCTATCTCTGGTGTACTGTGAATATTTTCCACTACTGTCAGTTATCATTTAACTCTATTTAAGGTGCTTCTGTGTGCAAACATTAAAAAATAATTACATAGTCCAATTTATTCTTTTTCTTTATTGTCTCTGAATTATTGAGTCTTGCTTAAAAGCTTCTCTGTGTCACCAAAGCCTAAAGCAGAATTCGCCTATCCTTTCCCTCAGTACGTCCTTGCCTTCATCCCCCATTCTGATCCTAATCCATTTGGAGTTTACACGGTATACAATGTAAACTAACAGCTGATACTTTCTCTTTCCAGATGATCCAGTTGTCTGAGCTCGATTTACTAAAAAGTCCATCTTTGTTCCAGGGATTTCAGAAGCCCTCTTTGCCCTAGTTGGTATGTGCTTTTGTGTCTTAATACTGAACCGCTGGTTGTCTTTTGTCTATTAACATGGCAGTAACACAGTTTTATGTATCCAACTCCAAACTCACTGCCATCAAGGCAATCCTGAATCATGTGACTCCACAGGACAGGGGAGACCTGCCCCTGTACTTTCTGAGACCGAAACTGTTCACTGGAGTAGAAAGACATTGCCCTTCTTCTGTGGAGCAGCTGGTGGTTTCCAACTGCCGAACTTGCAGTTAGCA